GTCGCTCACCGGCTCCACGGAACCGCGGCACCGGCACCGGCCGGCCCAGGGACCACGACAGGCGCGCCGGACGAGGCGATCGGCATCACAGCCCGGAGCCCGGCGACCGGACGTGTGGTCGCTGTGGCCGCCGCCGGCACTCCTCTGGTGAGAGGTGCCCGGCCAGACAGGCCGCCTGTTTCGAGTGTGACGTCACCGGCCATTTCGCCCGCATGTGCCCGAGCGCCAGTGGCCGGAGGACTCCTCGAGCGGCCGGCCGCGGGCCGTCACCGTCGGCAGGCCGCCGTCGGTCGGTCCAGGCCGTCATAGCTGACGTGCGCGTGCGGAGCACGTCTGACCGCCGGTCACCGAGAGTTCGTCTGCAGACACGGCACAGCGGCGGACTCCGAGCGATGCTGTGGACTCCGGATACCGGCTCAGAGGTCTCCTGCATCGGACCGACCCAAGCTGAACAGCTCGGCGTGGACCCGAGGAGCCTCTCGGCAGCGTCGGAGCGGTTTTACGCCGCCAACGGACAGGAGCTGCAGTGCAATGGCCAGTTTGCATGCGACTTGTCACTCGGTGACAGATCGACCTCAACGACTGTATTCGTTCTACACGGACTGAACGCTGCACTGCTCGCGTGGTTCGACGCGGTTCATCTGGGTATCCTACCCCCGGATTATCCGCAGCAGATCTGTGCAGTGAATCTGGATGATAGCGGCGCGCCCCCCTCCGCGCCGCCGCCGCCGCCGCCCGCCGGTGCGGCGTCTGGCCCGACATCTAGCGGCCAGCCCGCGGCGTCTCGCCTGACATCTAGTGGCAAGACCGCGCGGCCCGGCGATGCGCCGACCGTGCGCGGTTCCCCGCCGCCGCCGCGTCCGGGCGGCAGTCCGGAGCGGCCGGAGCCTGCGAAGCCGGCGAGCGCAGGGATGGACGACCGCCCCTCACTGCCTACATGGGACCCAGCGTGGGGCGATCCCACAGAGGAGCAGATCGGTGAGCACCGTGCCGCACTGCTGCGTGCTTTTCCCCGTGTGTTCAACTCTGACCCTCCGCTGCGGCCAATGACAGGTGGCCCAATGCACATCGAACTGATCCCAGATGCACGACCTGTCGCACTGACTGCTGCTAGGAACATTCCCTATGCGTGGCGTGACGATATCAAACATCAGCTGGACGAGTTGGTGTCTCAGTGTGTGATCGCCGCTGTTGACTACCCTACTGAGTGGTGCCATCCGATTGTGCCGGTGTCGAAAAAACCCAACCCTGACGGCTCCGACGCCGGTGTCCGTCTCTGTGTCGACCTGACGCGGCTGAATCGCTATGTCCGCCCGCCCGCTCACCCATCCACATCACCTCATGACGCTGTGTCGTCTATCGAGCCGGGCTCGCGTTTCTTCACCACTCTCGATGCCAGGTCGGGCTATTTTCAGATCCCACTCGCTGAGACCGACCAAGATCTCACCTGTTTTATCACCCCGTTCGGGCGATATAAGTTCCTGAGGGCTCCGATGGGCCTCTGTTCGAGTGGCGCCGAGTACAACCGGCGGGGAGACGTCGCCCTGGCCGGCATCACCCGTACCGCTAAGGTCGTGGACGACATCATCGCCTCTGATGCGGACTACACAGACCATCTGCATCACGTGATCAACATCCTGGAGCGCTGTGACGAGCACGGGATCACGCTGCACCCGCTGAAGATGAGGTACGCCGCCGGCAGCGTGGAGTACTGCGGGTACCGCCTCAGCGAGTCCGGCTACACGGTGGACGACCGGAAGACGAGGGCGATAGCAGAGTTTCCCACGCCGTCAAACATCACTGACCTACGATCTTTCCTAGGTCTCGCCAATCAGCTCGGCCACTTTTCGCCGGACATCGCCGGAGCCGCTGAGCCGCTCCGTGACCTGCTGCGCCCGAGCCGCACCTGGCTTTGGACTGCACAGCACGACCAGGCCTTCAGCAGCGTCAAACAGAAGCTGGTGGCCCCGCCTGTCCTGGCGTTCTACGACCCCGGCAAGCAGACGGCTCTGCAGACTGACGCGTCACGGCTTAACGGCCTGGGCTATGCCCTCATGCAGCTGTACGGCACGAACTGGAAGCTCGTCCAGTGCGGCTCGCGCTTCCTCACGTCCTGCGAGACAAGATACGCCGTCATCGAGCTGGAGATGTCGGCCGTCACGTGGGCGGTCAAGAAGTGCCGCCCATTCCTCGCCGGCCGCCCGTTCGAGGTAGTCACTGATCACCGGCCGCTGGTAGCGATCCTCAATCACAAGTCACTCCCGGAGATTGAGAACCCGAGGCTCCAGCGGCTCCGAATGAAGCTACTGGACTACCAGTTCACCACCTCATGGCGGCCCGGCCGGCAGATGGTCATCCCGGACGCCCTGTCACGTGCCCCGGTGGACGCGCCGGCCGCAGAAGACGAGGACGACAGCGCGGAGATCGGACCCCAGATCCGCTGTATGCTGGTCCGGTCACTGGCCGAGACCGAGCCGGACGGCACTCGCGTCTCCCCGGTGGAAGATGCCATGCTAACGCGGCTCCGAGACGCCGCCCGCACCGACACGGAGTACCAGGCGCTGTGTGCGGTGGTTCAGGACGGCTTCCCGAACGAGAGGGCAGATCTGGCCCCCCACCTGAGGCCCTACTGGCCCGTCCGGGACCGACTGGCGCTCGAGGACGGCCTACTGGTGTGCGGGCCCCGACTGGTCATCCCCAGTCGCCTGCGACGGGAGGTGCTATCCCGTCTGCACGACAGTCACCAGGGCATCATCCGAACCCAGCGGCGCGCTCGTCAGACGGTGTACTGGCCGGGGATCGACAGAGACGTGACCAATGTCGTCCAGTCGTGCGCGTCCTGTCGCACCTACCTGCCCAGCCGTCAGCGCGAACCGATGAGCTCCGACCCCGCGCCCTCTCGACCATTTGAATCTGTCTCGACTGATTTCTTTTCTCACGCTGGTCATAACTACCTAGTGTACGTAGACCGTCTCTCAGGCTGGCCAATCGTAGCCTCGTGCCCTGGCGATCCCACTGCCCGCACCCTGATCCGTCATCTCCGCCAGATTTTTGCATCCACTGGTGTACCGTGTGTTTTGAGAAGTGATAACGGCCCCCAGTACACCGCCCGTGCGACACGAGACTTCCTGGACAGGTGGGGAGTGATTCACCGCCCATCAACGCCGCACTACCCTCAATCTAACGGCCACGCGGAGGCGGCCGTGAAGCTTGTGAAGCGCCTCATCCAGAAGTCCGAGGCGGCTGCAAACCTGGACTCAGATGACTTCGCGCGCGGACTCCTCGAAATTCGGAACACTCCGCGCTCGGACGGCCGCTCGCCCGCCCAAGTGCTGTACGGCCGCCCGCTCCGGTCCGCCGTCGTCGCCCATCACCGAGCGTTCGCTCCCGAGTGGCAGCGCGCGGCAGACGACTGCGACGCTCGCGCTGAGGTGGCCGCTGACGCATCGAGAGCCTCATACGACCGCCACGCCAAGCCGATAACTCCGCCGGCGCTCGGCTCCTCCGTCACGGTGCAGAGCCCGGTGTCTCGCCGCTGGGAGCAGCTCGGCACCGTTGTCGGTCTCGGACGGCGCCGTGACCTGCTGATCAAGCTGCCGAGCGGTCGCATCCTGTGGCGAAACCGGCGATTTGTGCGCCCGTTTCCGCCGGCTCCCACCCGTCCGCCCCCTCCTGTGGCGCCGGAGGGCACGTCCCCGCCTGACCCCGACCCGGTCACTGACACACCCCATTCACCCCCACGGGTCACCCCACGGTCAGTCAGGTTCCCGGCCGACCCCGTGACGGCCGTCTATGACGGAAGCCGACAGCGCACGCGCCGCCCGCCCAATCGCTTGCAGGTCGACCCTAGCCGTGCATCATATGCATAAGCTTGTATCGTGCGGACGGGCGAGGATAGTGTTATTCACGGTCGCGGCATGACACTTTGTCAGACATGTTTGCTCGTTCACTGTGTGCTTATTCGTTGCGTTGCGTCACCCGTGACCAATGATAGTTTTGTCAGACATGTTTGCTCGTTCACTGCGTGCTTATTCGTTGCGTTGCGTCACCCGTGACAAATGATAGTTTAACTGTGCGCAGAATCTTTGTCTTATGTTTGTCAGACAGTCGCTCGTCACTGCGTACTATGCTCCCGTCTTGGGGGGAGGTGTGGTGTCGCGGTTTGAGAACCACGTTGAGGGCCACTGTCCACCGGCTGCTGTGCGCCGCTGGCTGACGTCACCGCCCGGCGCCCGGCGACCAATGACTGGTGGGTATTTTCAAGGGCATTCAGAGACGGGACGCGGCGACGGAAGGACGTCGCCGCGATGCTCTTGTTTTTCTACTCTGAGTCCGTTTAGTTAAAATATATACGTCGTGCGGAACGGAATCTTTTAACATAACACCCAAGATACTTAAACTCATCAACCCATTTTAGGTTGGTACCTGACAACCTCGCAATTGGGGGTTGTGACATGAACAGATGCGAAGATGCACTTGGACGCTGGGGATTAAACACCATGCATACACTCTTTTTGGCATTGAATTGTATGTCCCTGGACACAGCAAATGATTCACATATTTTGACAAGCTCTTGTAAACCACCCCTTGATGACGACAAAACAACAATATCGTCGGCATACGCCAGCACATTTACAGCACAGCCATCGAAATATTATTATTATTATTATTATTAACATTATTATTATTGTTATCATTATTATTATCATTATTATTATTATTATTGTAGGTGTTCTGAAAAAACCTAAGGCGAGCCCCATCCCTCTTCAAATATTAGCAGTAAATTTTTTTACCGTGTTATGAATCAGTCCGTTAGAAAATTACTATTCACTTGAAAACTTGTTTCCATCGACCCGCGCTTAAATGAGTACGTCAGCCTGTGACAGCGCGGCCACACTCCCTCCCCGGCCAGCGCGTGCCTCCTGGAATGTTCTTCAGCTCGCTGCGAACCCGACCAGTACCGCAGCCTATGACAGCCCCCGGCAATCTGTTCGGCTTACCGGCAGGCAGAACTCCTCGAATGCCGGCTTCACCAGACGAGTGTACTGGTCGAGCACCATGTCTAGGTCGCGGCCGCGCTCGCGGGTGTCGCGCCGCACGCGCCGGCTCAGCCGGGTATCGGCGTCTGTGTCGACAAATAGCTTCATGTCGAACAGGGCGCGCACTTCTGGCTGGTAGAACACCAGGATGCCCTCACAGAGTACGACGTCGGCCGGGTACACCTTGCGCGTCTCCGACAGCCTGCAGCGGCACCGGTCATAGGGGTTGGTACGACAGCCTGCAGCGGCACCGGTCATAGGGGTTGGTACGACAGCCTGCAGCGGCACCGGTCATAGGGGTTGGTACGACAGCCTGCAGCGGCACCGGTCATAGGGCAGTTGGTACGACAGCCTGCAGCGGCACCGGTCATAGGGGTTGGTACGACAGCCTGCAGCGGCACCGGTCATAGGGGTTGGTACGACAGCCTGCAGCGGCACCGGTCATAGGGGTTGGTACGACAGCCTGCAGCGGCACCGGTCATAGGGGTTGGTACGACAGCCTGCAGCGGCACCGGTCATAGGGGTTGGTACGACAGCCTGCAGCGGCACCGGTCATAGGGCAGTTGGTACGACAGCCTGCAGCGGCACCGGTCATAGGGGTTGGTACGACAGCCTGCAGCGGCACCGGTCATAGGGGTTGGTACGACAGCCTGCAGCGGCACCGGTCATAGGGCAGTTGGTACGACAGCCTGCAGCGGCACCGGTCATAGGGCAGTTGGTACGACAGCCTGCAGCGGCACCGGTCATAGGGGTTGGTACGACAGCCTGCAGCGGCACCGGTCATAGGGGTTGGTACGACAGCCTGCAGCGGCACCGGTCATAGGGCAGTTGGTACGACAGCCTGCAGCGGCACCGGTCATAGGGGTTGGTACGACAGCCTGCAGCGGCACCGGTCATAGGGGTTGGTACGACAGCCTGCAGCGGCACCGGTCATAGGGCAGTTGGTACGGGTCAAAGTTGCCAGCTCTTCATAGGCGAGTGCTGTTACCATAAAAACGTTGAGGAAACAATAGACATCGCACATCATATCCTATTATGTCACATTTCCCTCGGGCGCCCACCTAGACAAGCACCAGAGCACCGCGGCGTCTGGCGCACAGGTGGCGCCGGGCGTGGCCCAGTCAGAACACACGTGAAAAATTGCGCCTTAACCCGCGCCCCGCTGGGGGGGGCAGAATCTGCCCCCCCTCCCGTTTTTCGCCAATAACTTCTAAACGCGTTACGCCAGCGACGTCAAACTTTCAGTACCTTATCATACATTAATTTGACACGTTCCCTGAAAATTTGAGCGAAATCCGTCGGAATATTTTTGAGAAATTGACGTTTTAGTGACGTCATGTTCGCCATTTTCGCCTCAAAAACGGCAAAATTTCAAACGCCGCTAACATCTTCATTTTTAAAGGAATCAAGACGTAACAAAAAAGGTTATACGTGATTCTACTTTGTCTATCAAATGGCTATCTCGGTTTTTTGAAAATTTTGGATTTTCGCCAAATTTTTTCAAAAAAACTGACTTTTTTGGGAAAATATTTATAAAATCCAAAATTTTGAGTTTATCCAAAAAAACCGGAATATATGTCAAAGAAGTGGTCTATGTGCACCTACATACCAATTTTTAGAAGAATCGGTTCAAAAATGTGGGAGTTATTCAAAATTTTATTACGTCACGACACACAAAATTTTTGAAAAATGATTTTTTTGGAAGTTCTAGACCTCGTACGGAAACAAAAATAGCACCATTCGATTTGCCGTGAAAAACTGCATCGGATAGACACCTTTTTAGGCCTTAACAACCAACTTCAAAATTTGACCTCACTTGACCTGACCTTGACCTGACCTCGACCTGAAATTCATCCAGAGGTGGTCCATATCACTTATTGAGTGTGCCTATTGAATTCCATGAGTAAAATGACCCATAAAACATGTGTCGCACATGCCCTTTTCTATATTTTGTTTTTGGTGACCTGACCTGACCTGACCTGACCTTGACCTTGACCTTTGAATGACATTGTGTGCAACGAATATTGTCTTGGTAGTCTAAGAACACGTTTTGGGCAATCAGTCTCAGTCCATTCTTCGGCAACTACGGTGCAAGGCCGATACTGTAGAAACTTGCATTTTGTACCCTTGACCTGACCTTGACCTGACCTCTGACCTACTTAAGCAAAAAAATTTGGGCTCTTAAGATCCGCCTTGTTGAGAGCTTTCGATTGCCGTTTTCCCCGTCTTTCTACGACCATCGGTTCGGAAGTTAGACAGGGGGGGCAGAATCTGCCCCCCCCCCCCCCCAGCAGGGCGCGTATGGCTGAATAGCCCAGCGGGGCGCGGGATAATGATGCTGTAGTTCGTTTTTTTTTTCTAAGTTGGACCCTCACTGTAAACATGTTTTTGAACAAAGCACGATACTTGCTAGCTAAATTACTCAGAAAACTGGTTAACGCACATTGTACTGGAGATATGAATAATATTTTCCAAATAAGATTTTAACACCGATGATATACCCTTCTGTTAAACGCCGTGCGATTCATTGATTAGTTCAATTACCTACCTATAATTTCTGACAAGTCGTCTTTCTCTGTGCGGTTGAATAGGTATATAGGCGAATACGAGCTAGGAGTCTGGGAACTAAGAGCCAGGAAGAAATAATTTTGAATACCGCAAACGGGGGTGACTTTGCCATGTTTTCAACTTTAGACGCTTGTATTATTTAAACTTGTTAACGTATTGCAATGAATCTAACGGGTGGTCAGTATGAAACTGGACAAAATTTGATTAAGCATAGCATCTCCAATTATGGACATATTTTAATTATTTTTGGCAGGTGAATACTTCCATTTATTTTATATTAGCAGCTCAGATTTCAACTTTCTGCTATTAACTAGTAAGAAACATTGCGCCGGTAAGTCAGCAAGCGTTCCGGGACCTGTTCGCGCAAGTTTTTGAAAACAATGCAAATTACAAAAATGCTAGCATTATGCGTCACATTACGCCACAGAATGTCACCAGATCTTAAGAATATGTGATCATCGATAAGTTCTGAGAGCTTGCAGATGTTTTACATGGTGGGAACGGCAAGGTCACCAGAAAAATGTCCATTCAGCTCCGGAAGAAACAAATCGGCGCCGTCACCGCACAGTTGGGGCTATTCTAGTGATCCTGGGAAGCAATTTTGGGATCTTCAAAACATATGACCAATTAATATGTCAACCAGCAGAAATCAAGTACAGAAATAGGATAAAGGCGACGGAGGCACAATTTCGTACACAGAAAACCCGCCTGCGCCGTCTGTCACAGGGTCCAATGCAGGGTAGCAGAAAACATGGAGGTGCATAATGCAGGTGAAATAAGATTCATCATCCATATGCACTGCATATGGATGATGAATCTTATTTCACCTGCAGTGGCAGCCAAATGCCTTCCATTGCCGAACTTTATACCTCAGCTGGTGGAGACACTATTCCACATGTGGATCTAACCTTCGCTTTCGACCTGAGAGCAAGTACCCACCCGAGATGCCCGTCTGGCTTGCCATGAGTCCGAGGGGACCACGCGTCCAGTTACTTGCCGAGCGCAGGCATAGTACACGGGCGAAGTGCACTATGAAAAGTGTTTGAATGGCGTGTTGTTATCACTTATTGAGTCTCAGAACACAGATCATGATGCTCTGTTAGGCTCCGACCTTCAACAGCCACAGTACGCGCGCTAGACCACGAAACTTCTTGAGGAGGCTGGGGTGCCCGTAGTAGCACGTGACATGAACCCGCCATGCACCCCTCAGATTTGACCCATTGAGGATATGTGGGGGCTCATCAAACAGAACGTGTATAAGGGAAGGTGGCAAGTCAGCTGAGACGAACAACTGAAGTGGAGAATCCAGCAGGCTATCCGTCAAATCGACCCGAAGGTGCCGCGAAAGACAATAGTGGGGCTGCCAGCGCGCGTGCGCTTGGCGGCTGACAGAGGTCCAGTGTCGCAGATCCACTAGGCCGAGCGTGATTACAATAAAATGAAGGCACGGTAACGCGATTTTCGTTGCTTTCGCTTGAATACTTTTGACACAGTAACAATTCAAACTTTGTCCAGTTTCACACTGACCACCCGTTATGTTCAAAACACGGATGAAGATTAGCTCTTTGGGTTTTGCTTTTATCGTATTTATAGCTTGCCTAAAAATATAAATTTTTAAAGAAATTGAGTTGTGGCAAAGTTACACTGAAAAAGGGGTGACTTGGCCACTATGCCAAATAATGGTTTTTTTAACGCTAATAAATTTTTTTTTCAAGCATTTCTTTTAGTTGTATGGGGAAGGGCAACCATCCTTAATTGTTTAATGTAAAAAAAATAAAGCAACTCGAGGTTTTTTGCTCTTAAATGATGTACAAAAAGGAGCGATACATTACTTTTTATAATACATTATATTTGTTGAAAATAATTGACATTTTATAGTAAATGGAAACTGAAAAATTGTTCAGAATAGATAAATAGGCAAAAATATGATTGTATCGGTACTCTAGGACCTTGCCGCTTTCTTCCAGCGGCATTGAGAGGAAGAGAAAGAGGACGTTCTTGCGGCAACTTTCCGGCACCCTTATTATCAGCGTTTTGATCTATAAAATTGTACAGATTTCTTCAGCCAGTCTTACTGGCCAACTCAGGAAATGTAGATGATCTTGGCTGTGCTGAAAAATTGGGTCCAGCTTCATCCATTTTTTTTAATTTGGTAATTTTTGCTTTTCTATACTACCACTGTGCATTCCTGTGTTAATTTTTAATCCATAAACTTTTACTTTCTAAAAACCAATTTGGAGATCAAAATGATGCTACCTTAAAAAATTATTTTGAATTGCATCGGATAAGTATTTCATTTTTGCATTGATAACATGGTGGCAAAGTCACCCCATGTGGCCTGCAATTCACTTGAAAAAAAAACTCCACCGAAAATTTTAGCTAAATGAAGTGACAAATGCCAGTTTTGTTCGATATGTCAACTTAACAGCATTGTGATGATCAACCATACCAAGTTTCAGCATCGCAGTTCGTCTGAAACATTGTTAGTTAATAAAAAGTTCTGACCTCTTCAAATTTGACCATTTCAATGACTCCAATAAAATGGAGCCCAGTTAGGTATTAAGTGGTAACTTATCTCTCAGTGTTGGTTATATTGGAAGGCCCATCAATTATCTTTCATGCGTGCATAAAAAAGTATTACATTCTTCGTAAAATATCACTGGAGATCTCCCTAAAGGCTTTTTCGAGAAGCATGGCAAAGTCACCCGGCAAGGCAAAGTCACCCCCGTTTACGGTACAATTAATCGCCTGTGAAATCAATGTGCGCCAGTCAGTTTTTTCAGTAATTCAGCTAGCAATGGGGTTGGGAACTCGATTTTTTAGGAATGTATAGAAATGATCAAACTATTTTCGCAGAATTTATGGTGCATACAATTTCCTCATAAAATCAATATGCTGAGAGAAATTGGGGGAAGAGAGATAGAAAGCATGCTTTTTATAGTTCTTGAAAAAGACGCTGTTGATGCTGTTACGTCACATGTCACCTTCTGCGGTTGACAATAACGGCGCATCTGGCGCACCACTGATGACATGTTATAGCTATATGTGAAAGAGCTTGTTTGTTTCACTCTGCCATTCGCGCTGTTTTTAGCTTTAAATTATGCTAAAGCATTCACGGATGAAAGGTTCAGTCAGGGTTCAGTGTCAAAAATTGATACGTCTGCCGCGTGCTGTTCCCATTTAACATTGAGCGCGTGGTAAGCATTTTGTGCACCTCGAATTTTCATATGAAAAAACATGGGCCCTGTTCATGAACCCTGCGGTCGCTGCGGCTGCTGCGGTCGCTGCGGCCAGCCGGGTTGTTACGTTACAAAAAGGGGCGGGGCTCATATGTAGTATAATACATTCCTGCCCGGGGCTGGGAAAATTTAATGGTGTCACCGAGTTTTTTAATTGAAAGTACCGAGGGCCGGTAGGCCCGAGGTACTTTCGATTAAAATACGAGGTGACACCATCAAATTCTCCCAGCACAGGGCAGGAAGCTATTTCCCATACATGCGTACCATTATAGGGAGCGTTGCAAATGTTATGGAGGAACCAAAACGCTCCAATTTCAACCTTGTTGAGTCCTTCGTGGCTATGGTTTGTTGCGAAATAGCGTCAAAGTTTAAGTTTTATATGGTGATGTTTCACTTTATTCATGACAAATAATAAAATTATTGCATCAAACAAAATGTAGGCAGATATATCATAAGCCAATCAAATAAAATGGACGATAGATAAAATTAAGTTATAAGGAGCAAAATGATGCTCTTCAACTTTATGATGTGACGTCATTCATAATGACGTCATATATTTGAGAGGTGCAGGAAAATGTCGAGGGGTGCAGGAAAACGTCCAAAGGTGCAGGAAAACATATTTTCCTGCATGTCTCGGAAACCAATCAGCATTGAGTTCTCGTATGTTTCAAAAGTGCAGTATAATGCACGTGCCATTTTAATGCCTGGCTTTCTCGATTTAAACGTGCAATGCTGCATGTATGGGAAGATGAATACATGACGTCACCTTGCTGCGACCCCTGCGATCTCTGCGGCCGCAGCCCGCAATCCAGCGACCGCCAGAGCCGCAAGAAAGTAATTGCACTTAACTTGGCGCACGAAGTTAAACTGGCACAAGCCATGTTGTCATGGAGACGATTTTGTAAACAAATTCATTCCGTCTGGGAATTAGGTGAATGAATCGGGAATTGGCATGATGAATCGGAAGCTGCTGAAGGGCAAGCTCTTTCCAATACGTATTTGGCCTAATTTACAATTAAAATTTTACCATTTCTCTTATCTTATTAATAATTTCTTTGTTCTTTTTCATAAAAATGACTGAAGGCGTTGAGTGCCGAGGTAATTTCTATCTACCATGCCATAACATACCAGCAACAGCAATTTATGTACGGTGGCAAGGGAGACTGTGAAAGAAGCGTAAGATGGATTCTAAACAATTCTTTTGTGATATACTGAACGGCAAAGTGTAGGGAAAAGCGTAGAAGTCCTGTTTTGTGCCAGGCTGTTGCAGTAGCACTTATGAAACTCCGAAAAAGACCTTTGTTCATGTCCCAAACAACATTACACTGAGGAGATGATCGTCTGCAATAGCAAGACGAGCTGATGCAAGTACAGGTCCCGCGGGTTTTAAGCGTAGGTTTTGCCTTTCCGGCTATATCTTTTTCGTCTTCAGCTTTGTAGGCTTGAAGATGTGACCGATTTATTCGTATAGCTCCCTTCCATGATCATGGAAAAAGGTTTGATTGCATGCCCGCTAGTTTCGGAGAAATTAAAAGAAAACCTCAAAATTCGCTGTTTGGGGCATTCTGACCGCGGCTTCCCTGCAGTCGCCTATGACTACAGTGGTGCCACCCAACGGGTAGGACGCTGAAACACAGAGGCATGAATGAATCCAGCGCGTGTGGACGGTGGATAGAGGCGGGACTCGGCAGAGGCTATCACTGCGGCCCGCGCAGGGCCGGTGAGGCCAGAGGTCACGACAGCCAGGCGCTGTTTGGCATACAGGGAGGGGAGGCGCTCGCCTTAGCCAGCCTCGCCTCAGCCAACTCAGCCGGTTTGGTGGTAGTGGTGGTGGTGGTGTGTGTGTGTGGGGGGGGGGGAGGCCGCAGGCGAGAGGGGCTAGAACGAACGGAATAAAATAGAATGGAAATGCCGTGCCATGGTCAACTTACAATGTTGTTTACCTAATAAGCATTTTTTACATTACGAAAGAATTCATCATATTAAATTGAGAAATATACAGGAGATGTTATTTATCGATGTTACCGTTTACTTTTAGTAGAAACCCTACTTCTTATTAGGGGTGATTAAATGAACCCCTCTCCTTGGTTTTTCCTGAATAACTCGCGTAAATAGTGGCCGATAGCAGCGAAGCTTTCAGTGCCGTAAGTTTCTCACCATAAGTAAATAAATACCTA